ATACCTCTTTTTATCTACTCCTATGATTGATCTGAAATAAAAATAATTTTGTACAGAAATCCTTGCAGGTAGATATGGTTATATGTCTAAGTGCTGGCTAGTAACTTGTAGGCAGGAGTGGTTGGTACAGTTTCCAGAAGGCATTTTTAAAGGAAGAGCGTGTAATTTTCCACCCTTACTTTCTGTAAGCTGTCTGGAAAGCACACAGGATGACTAGACTTGAGCAATCACAATCACAGTGACCGACTGGACTACTAAGTAGAAATATTATATTATAAACAGCAGAGAATAGAAGAGCCATGGCAGTACCATGGGAAGCAGGGAGGCTCTATTTTTTTTCCCCCTACCAGTTCCGGGAATTGAACCCAGGGACTTTACACTGAGCTACACATCCCCAGCCATTTTTATTTATTTTATTTTGGTGCTGTTAATCAAACTCGTGACCTTGTACTTGCCAGGAAGATACTTATGCCACTGAGCTATATCCCCAGCTCTTTTTACTTTTAAGTTTTGAGACAGTGTCACCCTAAATTGCTAAATTGCCTAGATTGGGCTCGAACTTGTGATCCTCCTGCTTCAGCCTTCTGGAAACTGTACCCACCGCTCCTGCCTATAAGTTGTAGGACAGCACTGAGACATATAATCATATCTAACTGCAAGGTTTTCTGTACAAAATGATTTTTATTCCAGGTCAGTCATAGGAGTACTGGAAATTGCAGGCATGTGCCAACAGAGGAATTTAGCAAGGGAACTCTGATGATCATGAGTCCAGTTGGTGGTAATAACTGTGATTTAGGGTTTTCTGCCATCCATGGCCAAATCAGAGCCTAACTTATACACTTGGATTAGCTGTCAACTCACTCTGTGAACACACTGTATTCTTGCTTGTCTGATGTATCTGCTCCCTAGACAGACCATGAGCTCACAGAGGCAGGGTCCACGTCATCTTTCATACACAGTATCTAATGAGCCAGAAATGCTACTTGTGCAAATCAATGTGTGGATAACACACAGCATCCAGCTGTGGATTAAATGTAGATTTGACATTATTGGTGTAAACATGGTCCCTGAAGTGGCAGGAAAGAATGAGCTGAAGAGGGGACTAACGGAGGAGATGCACACTCTATCATTTAAGGTCCTGCGGAAGAGAAACTGCTCTAGAGTGAGGCTGAGGAAAGGCCAGGGCACTTTGGAGAACCCTCCAAGCAGCCCTTGTGGTCTGGGACAGGAGCCAGTGGGAATCACTGAGGTCTGAGCCAGCAGGCACACGGGAAGGTGTTGGCAACAGACAGGCCACCGCAGGGAAGCAAGGTGTGCTGCTGGATTGGGGAAAGCTGGAGGGGCCAAAGTCCTGATGGGGCTGGCAAACTGCTGACGGAAGAGGGACTGCAAATGTGACAGAACTGAGGGAAATGTGACATTAGAATAAAACTAGGCCACAGTGTCCGTAGGATGTAAAGCTTACTGAATAGTATCCCTTGGGCTCAGATTCCTCCTGGAAAGCTCTGAGTCCCACAGGCTTCTTGTGGGTGCTCTGAGGATCAACTCAACACTCCCTCCCTGGTTCCCTCTTCCACAAGCATCTCCTTGAAAGACCCTTGTGATGCTAATACCTGCCCCCCCCCCCCAGGGTGCAGCTGCTGCAAAGCTCAAAGGGGGCCTGCTGTGACTTTGTATCCCTTTGGGTCTGCACTGAGGCCATTTCCCGGGAGTTAAGGGCACTGGTGCTAAGGGAAGCAGCAGTCAAGGGCTCAGAATTAGAGTAGGGATTGTGAGCTTTCATCTTGGGGAGCTCTACAGCCTTAAGCAATTTGATGAACTTCTCTGAATCTGAGCTGATGAACTTCTCTACATGTCTGCTGAGAGGAGGATAAAAAAGGGTCTAACTTCATTGGGCATGCTAAAACATACTATAATCCCAGCTACTTGACTCAGGCAGAAGGATTGCAACTTTGAGGCCAGCCTGAGCAATTTAGCGAGAACTTGTTTCAAAATAAAAATTCTAAAAAGGCCAGGGAGGTAATTTCATGTGAAACTCTGAGTTCATTCTCCAGTACTGCAAAAAACAAAACTAAACAAAACTCAAAAAGCAAAACAAAACAGCAACAAAAAAATCTACCTCCTCATGAGGTTGGAGTTATCATGGAGTTAAAATGAGAAAAATACATGTAAACTACTTAACACAACGCAGGGCACAGAGTGACTGGTTAATAAGTGTTGGTTATTATGACTTTGGCTATTATAGCTTTTGCATCTTTTAACTCATTTAACAAATAAGCTCCAGCACTGACCTCCTTGGACAAAGTACGTCAAACAAAATACATCCTGGTATTTCCTAACACTTTACCTATTTCTTCACCTCTCTGTGCTTTGCAGACATAGGTGGGTCCTCTGCTTAGATCATCCCTCACTCCTCAGCTCCCTGACCAACTTGCTCTTGGGGCTTCAGCTGTGGTCTGGCCTCCTCAAGACACTTGCTTGAACTTTCCAGACTGGGTCGGATGGCTCCCTGAGCCCCCACATGTCCAGCACAGCCTCATTGCACAATTTGCTAAGGGTGGGGAACAGTCATATGAACTCCCCCTAGCATTGTGCAATGTGATGGCTTTGTCCATATCTCTTCTGTTTCCCTGTATCATAATTTTTATCACACTCTTACTGTAATGATTTATTTAACTGTGTAGCCTCCTGCAGACTCTGAACTCCTCATGGATTCTGGCTGACAGAAAGTCAGGGCTCAGGAAATGCTTGAGTGAAGGGATCCTGGCCTAGTTCTTATATCCTGAGGCTCCCAGGGTTGCTGGGGAGACAGGATGATTCAATATGAAGCTCGGAAGAAGTGAGAAATGAGCCACATATAGTGCACACCCTGTAATTCCAGCATTCTGGAAGGCTGAGGCAAAAAGATTGCAAATTCATGCTCAGCCTGGGAAATTTAGCCAGGGCTGGGGATGTAACTCAGTTTGAAAGCCCTTAGATTCAATCCCAAGGACCAGGGGAGGACGTGAAGGGGACAACATGAAGGGTAGGGTAGCTGGCACTTGGAGGTGTCCTCAGGTGGCCAGAAGCAGTTCTGCTTGTTTTCAGGATCTTTCCACCAAGCAGAGGGCATCGAGGAAGCCCAGGCCCAGCTGGCACCTTGCTTCTGTCTGAGTGGCTTGGGAAGGAGGCAGGGTCTCGGGCTGTGTTTGAGGGGCACCCATCCCTTCTCTCCTCCTCCGTGCTGAGGCTCCGCATTCCCACAACAAGGGGGTTTGAAGCTCAGTCCTCAGGGTACCAGGACTTAAACTGACCTGTGCTGGAGCCATACCACTGACCCTGACTGCCTCTTCCTGTTTGTTTATTTGTTTGTTTGAGAGAGTGTCTCACTTTGTAAGTAGTGCAGGCTGGCCTTGGACTCAGTAGTAATCTTCCTGCCTCAGCCGTTCACCGCCATGCCCAGTGTCTCTGCCCTTCTCACGGATACTCCATAGTTCCATCCCTTCAAGGTCACCTTCCTCCCTCCCACTTCTGCTCCAGAGCCTCCTGCCCAGCAGAATTCCTCAGCAGCTTCACTGCTGGTCTTTGATGCTTCTTCCACCGAGACCTCCACAGAAGATCACAGGGGAGGGGCCCCTCCACCCGGGTGCCCTGTGGATGCCACAGACCTCACCCAATGGATAGATGGATTCCATGAGGAAAATGCAAGTAAAAGAAATAATCTCAAAGTCCACAAGTCTCATAACTACCCAAGGGCAGAAACAATCAAAAGCTATTAAACTCTTTTCACAGGATGTCCCCTCGGGTACATTCAGTTCCGAACTTTATTCTCCTGGCTCTGATCCTCCTTTCTTACATGAGAAAGAGACCGCTTTTTCATTTCTCCATGGACAAACCCTCTATGACGCTCTGTGCAGGAAACCTCACCCCTCAAACTACATGAGACAAGATCAACAGGATAAGAAACAGTCGAATACTTCCCAAAGTCTGAGTTGTTCCATCTGGAATAGTATCACAGCGGGAGGATGGAGGGGTGCCGGAAACAAACTTAGGCCAGCAGCCTGGGGCAGGAGTGGCAATTTTGATCTGCAGTGTCCTGCCTCTTTAAAGTCCCTACCAGCGAGGAGCCACAAGCTATACCTCCTCCTCATTGTTTAGATATAGCCTTTTGGAGCAAGGGGGATGACAGAAGGATGGTTAAAAACATATGGAATATACAGGCATTCATATGCATGCATGCAGTTTTTTTTTCATTGCTAAAGATCAAAGTCAGGGCTTTGCATATAATAGGCAAGTGCTCTACCATAAGGCAATATGCTAAGCCCCTTATTCATAACTGTAGGTACCCAGGAGTTTCTTACCACAGAGTTACCTCACAGCCCTTTTTTATTTTGAGACAGGGTCTTGCTAAGTTTCTCAGGATAAACATGAATTTGCCATCTTTTTGCCTCAGCTCCCCAGAATTCTGGAATTACATGGTGTGTACCACTGTACTTGGCTTACTTCTCACATCTTCCTAGTGGCCAGGGAAGTTCTTAGCAGCTCAGGGAACCCACTGCCACATTCCCTTGGACCCAGTCTCATAGGAGGAAGCCATGCTGAGTCTTCAAGGTGCTGCAGAATCTGAGACTCTCTCCCCACATACTCCCATCATACCCTGCCTGGAGTTCTGAACTTATAGGACAAAAATCATGGTTTACCGCCTAATATTTTAGAATCCAGCTCAACCCAGAAGTAACCCAGAGTTTAGAGCTCAAAGCCACTCCTGGTTTATAACTTAGCTTGTATCTGGAATCCTGAGCCTAAGCCAGCCCAACCCTAGTCTAAAGTCCAGAGCCCAAAACCCAGATCACAGAACTCAGTTGAGGCCCAAAGTCCAGTTTGAACCAAAGACCAGGGCTCAGAACACAGAGACAAGCCCACGGCCTATAATTTAGCTCAGAGATCCATCTGAGCTCAGAACCCAAAGGGTTCAAAGCTCAAGACCAGGAATTCAAATGAGAACTAAACTAAAAGTCTGGTCCTTAGGTCAGTGCAGAGTCCAGCTCCAAACCCAAACAAAACCCTAGAACCTGACTAGGTGTTATGGTGCATTCTTGTAATCCTAGCACTCTGGAGATGGAGGCAGGAGGACTGCAAATCTGAGCCTAGCCTGGGCAATTTAGTGTCTTAGAAGACCCTGCATTGAAACAAGGTGAGTGGTGGCCTGTAATCTCAACACTTGAGGGGCTCAGGCAAGAAAATCACTGTGAGTTCAAGGCCAGCCTGGGCTACAAAGTGAGTTCAAGGTCAGCCTTAACTGCATAGGGAAACTCTGTCTCCAATAGACCAAAAAATAAAACAAATGAACAGAAAACCAATGTGGGTGGAAGGATAGTTGAGGAGCTTAGTGTCAAGGCCTTAGGTTTCAGTCCTGGTACTGGTTCTGTGTGTGTGTGTGTGTGTGTGTTAGAATTTATCATAGATCCCATCTTAAAGCCCAAGAGTGCTGACTAATCAGTGTGGCCTAGAACTCTATAGCCAGACCAAAGCCCAGCAGTTCCTTGATGCTGTTCACATGGGCAGCCTCTGAAGAGGCCAAAGCTGCAAGTTAAAGAGAGAGAATTTTAGATTCCAGTCCTACTCCTGGCAGGGGACAAGGAGCTGGTGCTCAGAGTAGGGAGAAGGGAGGTGGGAAAAGTGTCCTGTGTTCCAGTCTTAGTTCCAGTCTGGAGGATCCAGAGAGTTCAGAGACCTAGGGGAAGCAGTCCAGGGCTTTCTTTGCAAGGTCGCTGCTCACAACTGCAAAAATAAAAAGCAGAGTCCCATTGCTGCTGACTTGCCATGTGGCCTTGGGCAAGTCCCTCTGGTTTCACTGCATCCAGAAGAAAATCAGGGGGGCTTGGGATTTAGCTCAGCGACATAAACACCTGCCTTGCAAGCAGGCGGTCGTGAGTTCGATCCCTGGTACCGATAAAAAGGAAAAAGACAAAAAAAAAAAAAAAAAAAAAAAAAAAAAAGAAAATCAGGAAGGGCTTTACATCGATCCACAGAGTCAGAAACGTTTATTCTTTTATCCATGGAACAATTATTAAATGCATATACTAGGTGATTTTAATCCAAGTAAAATGGTCAGTTTTTTTCTCTTTTCTGCTTTTTTAATTAATCTAGTTGTTGATGGAGATTGGATGGAGGGGAGTAGTGAGGCATGACTGCCACGGTCCGGGAGGATGGGATGAGGGTCTGAAGCAGTGACTTCTTTACAAATCACAGGTATGGTCACGTCACCTCTTTTCACGCTCCCACTGTCTTCAGGATGAGGTGCAAGGCTTGCTTGCATCGAAGCCTCACAGCCTATTGATTTCTCTTCCAGCAAAAGCCCAATCAGCCCAAGCTGTTTACTTTTTCTGCATCATCCTCCATCCCACCTCACAGTCAGACCTGTTGCCTCTGCCTTGTGTGTGCCTCCATTCCTGTCTTGGAAACATCTGCTCATCCTACAGAACGTAGCTCCATCTTCACCTCCTCTGTGAAGCCCTCAGTCAGAATGTAGGTCCCCTGATGTCCTCGAGGCCTTTGCTACATCATTTTGTAACATTCTGCCAAGGTTCTCTGTGCCTGTTCCTCTCCATGTGGGCTGGGTAAGCCCACAGCAGGTTTGGTGAATGCACCGAGGGCCACCTTGCCACATCCAAATAGCCTTTTTTGTTTGTCTCTCTGTCTTTTTGATACATGGTCATGGTATGTAGTTCAGACTGGCCTTGAACTAACCATGTAGTCCAAGCTGACCTTGAATTCCTGGTCATTCCCGTCTCAGCCTCCTAAATTCTGGGATTACAGAAATGTGTGCCACCATGCCTGTTCCAACATCTTTTGTGTCCTCTAACACCACATCATCCCAGGCAAGGTACCTATATTTGAAAAAAAATTTAAAAGCAGAATATAATATATATAGATTTTTTCAGTAGAATATGTTTGAAATTTTAAGCTTCAGAACATGACAAAAAAGTTGTTTTCCCAGCGTATATTAATCAAAAACTTGCATCTTGCCAATCAAGAAAAAGATGAAGGGAAGAATTAATTGGCAAGCATCACCTGTAAGGTTTGTTTTGAACTTGGAATCTCACTAGATCCTTGAGATAACACTCTGAGAGATTACTACAAATCAGATAAATGAGGTTCAGAGGAGTTGTGACCTGCCCAAAGTCTCACAGCTAGCCAAAGCCAGAATTGGATTCAAACCCCAAGGAGCCTGCCTTGGGGTCCCAGCTATGCTGTTACCATTTGCTTTTAATCATCATGAGATGACAGCATGATCTGGAGGAATCTGGAGCTGGCTTCAGTCATCCCAGAGACTGGGTTCTCAAATATGCTTTCTGTACAGCTAGCAGGAGCCTATGGGAGCCTAAGGAAAACCTAAGGAAGCATCGAGCCTCCAGCAGGCGCCCAGGGCAGGTTATCTTCCTGCCCAGTTGATTCGAGTCCAGATTCTTTCAACTCAGTCATTCAAGATAGGGCTTCTTCTGGAAGGAATGTGGCGTGAGCATGAGGAGGACAGTTCTGGCCAGCCAAAAAGGAAGAGGGCATCAGTCCCACCCTTTCCTCTGAGGCCAGGCCCTGGGCTTTTGCCCAAGGAACCCTCATCTGATCGAAAAAGCTCCAAGGCCTCCTGTAGCTTGTTCACTTGGTCACTAGGGCTGCCTCAGTGCTGCACCATGGCCTCAGATGCCCTGGCTCTTTGAGCCCAGCCTGACAGCTCCTGGCCTCTTCATTCTGTGACTCTCACAGCTCCTCAGCAATCAGAGTAGTGTTTTCTGTGTCTTCTGGGCAAAAGGAACTTGAACTTGGAAGAGTCTAAGATGAGAAGACCCTGAGACAGTGGTTGGTGGTGGGCTGGCAGGGGCAGGACAGGCAGCCCTGAGGACTCTGGGCATTCCACATGTCCTCCAGTGCCCTGAGAACTGAGGCTTAGAAGTCAGATGCATCAGTCAGCCCTGCAGAGGAGGCCTCTGTTTGGATTAGCCCACAGCCTCATGAGATCAGATGAGTTAGTCTTTGGGCCTCTCCTGCCCACTTGTTGCCCAACCAATATCCAGGTAGGAATTCACAGCCTCAAGTGACTTCAAGCACCCTCTAGTACTTCCCCAAAGAGCCTCTTTGGGAACCTCAAGAATTCTTCCTTCACATTTTCTGTTCTTCTTTTCTCCACATGTCACACAAATGAATGAGACTGGGAACAAGCTGTGATGTCTGCATCTCATCAGCTCTTCCAGGAATCCCTTCCTCTAGGGCCTGCCCAACCTTTCTTTGTTCAATCTGGTGATTTGCTGGAGCATCATCACCCAGAGTGTATCTTGTGATTTTTTTTTTTTTTTTTTTTTTTTTAGCAGAAATCAAACTCAGGATCTTGCACTTGCCAGGCAGGCACTTGTGCTGCTGAGCTACATCCCCCGCCCTCCACTCAGGATGTTAATTTGTTGGTGGCTGTTGAGCCAAGCATGGTTCAAGGCATGGGCTTGGTCTCTTTTCTTCAGAAGTCAGGATGGTAGGTAGTAGGACTGAAGAGATCTGGATGACCGATTGCATGTGACCTGGCAACAACAGCATCCCACAACACTCACTCAGCAACAATATCCTAGCACCATTTCCCCAACAGTGACACCTGGTAACCACCCTACGGCAGCAGCCCATTGTGCTAGAAATACTGTATTGAGTCACCAGACATTAATTTGGCTCCTAATCATTTAAAAGCAAATCTTCTGCCTTCTGGGCTCCAGCAGGCTTACTAGGTGAGGTTTTGCCTAGGGAACAAGTAATGGTATTAATAAACAACCTTTTCTTTTGGTTTCCTGAGACAGGGTCTCAGTAATAGTTCAGGCTGGCCTTGAAACCCCCACTTTTCACCCCACCCCTTGATACTGGAGATCAACTCATGATCTTGCGTTTAGCAGGCAAGTGCTTGAGCCTCTGAGCTAAATCCCCAACTCTGGCCTCGAACTATTAGTGATCCTCTTGCCTCAGCCTCCCAAGTGCCAGGATTACAGTTGTGTGCCACCACACCTAGTTTAATAACCTTTTTTAATGCTTAGTACATGCTAAGAATGCTGTCTTGAGTGCTCTGCTTAATACTTGTGCCAGTTCTGTGAGATAGGCTCAGTTACTATCGCCATTTGTCAGGTGGTGAAACTGAGGCTCAAAAAAAAGATTTGGTATTTGCCCAAGAGTGCAGTATAATGGTCAGATGGGTTATGAATACAGGTAATACATTTCAGGGATCTCAAACTCAACTCCTCTGCCTTGCGGAAAGCTCAGGAAACCTCCCCATCCCCTGAGTCCTCTGGGGACTGTACAAGGGTAGGTGCTCTGTGAGGGCAGAGACAGGTGGATGACACTGAGGGACCAGTTCAGGTTGTGTCCTCAGCTGTGAGGCTGGGCCAGACCCAGAGAGGGTAAAGAGAGATGGGATGGTGGACCAATCACAAATTGAGAAGCTGTCAGCCAAGTGAGGAGAAGTCCCCGGGGGGGGGGGGGAGGGAGAATGTGGCTGTGAAAAATGGGTCCAGATTTCAGTACCACACTCCTGAGGCTGGCAAGGTTGTCATCTGCCTACTGTGGACTGGAGCCGTAGAAAAGCTCCTTGAACTGCAGGCTTGGCATGGGGGAAGCAGATGGGAAAGAGAATGTCTATGGGGATCAGTGGAGTCACATGGCCAGGACTGTAGACCCCTAGAAGGTAAACACCAAGAACATCATTAGAAAAAGAGGAAGCCTTAGCCGGGCATGGTGGTTAATGTCTATAATTCCAGCCTTTGGGAGGCAGAGGCAGGAGGATGGAAAATTTGAATCCTGCCTGGGCAAAGACCTTGTCTAAAAAGACTAACGAATATGGATTAGTATGAAGGCCCAGTTCAATCCCTAGCACCACCCCTTACACCCAAAAGAAAAAAGACCCCCTCCCCTCTTTGGCAATACTAAAATTGAATTCTGGGCTTTCATTCCAAACTACGCCCCTAGCCTAGCCCTTTGTCATGTTGTTGATTTGTTTTTTTTTTTTTCAATTTTTACTTTTTTTTTTTTGAACTGGGAATTCAGCTTGATCCCACGCTTGCCAGGCAGGCGCCATGCCACTGAGCTATATCCCCGGGCCCCATGTTTTTATATTTATTTGTTTTATTTATCTACTTAGAGACAGGGTCTCACTATTAGTTCAAGCTGGCCTTGAATTCACTGTGTAGCCCAGGCTGGTTTCAAGTTCAAGGATTGTCCTGCCTTAGCCTCCTGAATGCTGGGATTATAGATGTGTACCACCATGCCCAGCTCATGATTTTATTTTGAGACAGGGCTTCAATAAATTATTAAATTGCTCAGGTTGGGCTCAAATCAGTGATCCTTCGGCTTTAGCCTCCTAAAGTGTTAGAGTTATAAGCATACTCTCAATCTGGGTTTATAAAATCTAACTGGCTGAGTGTGGACACTTGTAATCCCAGCACTCTGGGATGTTGAAGCAGAAGGATTGATAATTCAAACCCAAAGCCGGGTACGTGCCTATAATCCCAGCACTTGGGAGGCTGAGGCAAGGAGGATCATTGTAAATCTAAGACCAGCTACAAAGTGAGTTTAAAACCAGCCTGAACTGCATAGTGAAACCTTGTCTCAAAAAGACAGTAAATAAATAAATAAATAAATAAAACAAAATTCAAGCCCAATCCTGGAAACTTGGTGTTTTAGTGAGACCTTGTCTCAAAATTAAAAAATGAAAGCTGAATGTGGTGGCACGTGTCTGTAATGCCAGCACTCAGGAATCTGAGGCAGGAGGGATTGCCATGAGTTTGAGGCCAGCCTGGGCTACATAGTGAATTGAAGGCCAGCCTGAACTGCATGGTGAGACCCTGTCTCAAAAAGGCCAAGAAAAAAAAAAGTAACATCCATTTTTCTTGTCTTAGACTCAGGATTATGAATATAACACCCCCCCCCCCCGTGTTTTTTTGTGAGCCTAAGAATTGAGCATGAGGCCTTCACACTTAGCTGGATCCCTAGTCCTGTTTGTGTGTTTGAAAAAGGTTCTTGCTAAGTCTTACACTGTCCAGGCTGGGTCTGAGCTTGCAATCATCATGCCTCAGCCTTTGGGACTGCTGGGTTTATAAATCTGGACCAAATATTCACCACACTCAGCTCCTTCATGGTATTGTGAGGGGTATCATATAGCACAAGCAGCAGGGTACTTGTCCAGCATACTGTGGGTGCTTAATAATTGGGAGCTGCTACATCAGCAGATTTTTGACTCACTTAGTGATGCTTGAAAGTCTCAAGCGGTCTGTTATGGGGCTCTGTCCCGACGAGCAATGTAAATGGTGGAGTTAAGTTGCAAGGGGCAAGACTGGATCTAAATTGGAGAGAAAACACCAGGCAATCGAGCCAGCATTCTAAACAAATAAGCAAAATGGCACTCTTCTGTTGTGATCATGAAGATATTACACAAACCAGAGGATGGGGGCAAGACCTGACTTGACCCCAGCTCCGGTGAAAAGGCTCTGAATGATTTAGTTGACCACAACCTGATGGGAACTAATCATGAGAGAGAAAGGCTCTGAGGCCCAGCAGTCTTAGGCTGCATGAACAATGTGTCGTGTCCAGACTGGGGGAAATAATAGGCCTATTGTCCTGGCTTGGTCAGGCCATATCTGGAATCTTGCGTTGCTACACTGACAGACTGGAATCAGGCCAGGATGGGGACCAGCTCAGCCTCTGCTCCCAGGCTCTTGTGCTAAATGCTTCCTGTGCATTTTCTCATTTTCATTCCCAAACAGCTCTCTAAGGTAGATCTTGTGACTGTCCCCACATTACACATGCAGGGGCTAGCTGGCTCTTGTGTTTGTACTTGAGGAGGACTGAACATTTATTTGTGGCACAGATGTTTATTAAATGCCTACAATGAGTCAGGTTCCAAGCTAGTTATGAGATATGAAAGTGAAGATGTAGTTCCTCCAGGAACACATCGTGGGGTGGAGGGTGGGGGTCCAGGTCACTTGTGAAACAGTGATTCTGTAACAGAGGGAGATTTCGGAGTGTGAGAGACCACAGAGTCTGCCTTAGCCAGCTCAAGCCTGCAGAAGGGAAGCAATGGAGAACAGTGTCACACGACTCACAGTGGAGGTGTGGAGGCATCTGTGTACTTGTCACAGTATTCAGCTGCTTCACTTGGGCTCCCTTGGCCAAAAAGCCACATGCAGAGATGGAATCTACTAGGGCATACAAAAGAGTCAGACCTCATCTCTCCTGCCCGAATCAGCTGTTTATTAATTAATTATTTATTGGAGACAGGGTTTTGCTATGCAGTTCACTGTGGCCTTGAACTCACTACGCAGCCCACAGTTGCCTGAAACTTGTGGCCATTTCCTGCCTCAGCCTCTGGAATGCTGTGATTATAGGCATGCACCGCTACGCCTAGCAAATCAGAGATGTAAAGAAAGAAAAAAACCAGCCTGACACCAAGAATTATGGTGACCTCTGAGCATCCCAATAGCTTCTTCTCTCACTTGTCAGACACAGTCAGTCCACCCAGCCTCCTGAGTCTCTATGAAGACTGGTGTAAGTTTGGCAAAGGAGGGATGAAAGACGCTTCTCTCCTGGCATCTGCTCCTGGCTGCTATTCTAGACTGCTATCCTCTCATTTTCTTTCAAGGACCTGATTATTCTGTACTGTTCTCAGACTTTGCCTCGATTGTTCCAACCCAGTCCCCCTCCCTGGCCTTGTGCCTCCCAGGCCTTTTTATTGGGGGAATGGACCCTACTCCACCTTATGAAATTTATGCTGAGGCGATGCAGTAGGGTTGCTAAGAGGAAAACTTAAAAATAGGGAAAGAAAGAAACATACAAAGGAAAAAAAGATAGAAGTCTGTGGTATGTAACAGCAGCTCCACTTGGCCAGGGTGCATTTTCTGACCTGTAAAATGGGAATGATACTAATACTACTACCCTCAAAGGGTGGTGGTTGTGAGCCTGCTGAGTGGGGCCTGAAGGGAGCTATCTATAAAAGGCTACTGTCACCCTGCAAAGCCCTGTGGTCCTGCTTTCTCTGCAGCAGTGCTCCTCATTTCTCTCTTCCATCACAAAGAGCCCCACAGTTGTCATTAGCAGGAAACGGGAATGGTTGGTCGCAGGAGAAAAGAGGGGGACATCTGGAGGCAAAGTGCCACTCTGCCTCTTCAAGTTAAAGGGAAGGGGGTGACCTGACTCCAGATTTTTTTTTTTTTTTTTTTTTTTTTGACGAAGACGCAATGGTAAAGTTTATTCATGAACACGAAAATGAGGAGTAGGGGAAGAAACTGGCTCTGCAGAGTGAGTGTGGACCAAGTAGATAGAAAAAGAAGGGAGAGA